AGTGCTAGTGCTAGTGCTAGTGCTAGTGCTAGTGCTAGTGCTAGTGGTAGTGCTAGTGCTAGTGCTAGTGCTAGTGCTAGTGCTAGTGCTAGTGCTAGTGCTAGTGGTAGAAGTAGTAGCAGAAGTCGTTGAAGCAGCAGCAGCAGTAGCAATAGCTATGAAAGCATTAGTAGAAGTTTCTATCTTAGCTATTGTAGCATTTACCTTTTCAGAATTAAGACATAATAATTTGAGCAAAGCTGAAATTGTCGTCTTATGTATGAATATCAAAATGTCAAGAAAATTAAAACGTGATATGAGACATTTCAGTGCTTATAAAGCTTTAGATGAAACTATAAACAGTCATAGAAAATTAGAAAGCAGCATCATCCGGTCTACCTCTGACAAAGATAATAGCGACTATAACTCAACAACAGAGCGCTAGCAAGCAACCAGGTTGGCGCGTAAAACCAGCCTGCATTCCACGAGGGAATTCCATCTTCTATACAATCCTTTTTCCTGTCACTGGTGACTAGGCTATGAAGACGATTACCAAAGATCATCTAAGATAAATGAGATGGAAATTTTTTCTCTTCTGGTGGACCTAAGGACCTTAGGACCTCCTAAGCGTTTCAGCTTCTAGGAGAAGATGAAGAGACCGAAGACCTATGCTAAACAAAGAGGTCCTGTCATCAACACAGCCCATATCCAACGCAACGACACCGATCGCGGTCCATGCAAACCTACTTAACTATGTAGACCATTGGCACAAAAATATTTCGAATATAGGCCTCGAAAGCTGGTGACGTTTTGCCTAACTTCGACGTGGAATTCAAATCAGTGTTTCTGTTGACCTGGTATATACAATTTATCTTCTTGGAAGTTCATTTTTTCCACGATGATCTCGATCATCCCCATCGCCTATTTGTCGATCTTTGGCTATAACAAGCTTTAAAAATTGGGCTTGACTGATAGTCCTCGAGTTTTAGATGAATAAAACTGACGTGAGAGCAAAAGTATGATCAATTAGACGCGACCATCTTTGATTCACCGTGGGTTTAAAAATGCGTACATCGTACACCAAAAACTGAAAAACGCATTTATTCTTTAAGCCCCCATCTTCCTGTCGTTTAGAACAAAACTTTTTGTAGTAAATCATTTGGTTTTCCTTCTGTATGAGGCGTCATATAAGGGAAGGAAAGGGGCAATACTTGCTAACTAAATCCTTATGGAGCTGGGTCAAGTACCTAAGTCAAGGGCGGGATGCCCCAGGATTTTGTAAAATTTTCCAGCTGGTTACTATTTTGATGATTTCGTTTATATCCAAAAACAAATCGCCAAGAGCCTTTTACTCTTATCTCAGGAAGGCACTATATCTGGTGCGTCTGGGTACTTTTGTTATTCACTTCCCTGACGCAACTTAAACGGGATGTTATGAAAACTGATGCAAGTCCTTAAACACAGACTAGAGTATTTTTACACTGTATAGAGAGAGACACTAAAAATTTCCTATTTTAATAGCGGGGAAGCACCGAAAGCAGCGTTTTCAAATACTTTTAATGTTCATTTCTCTGACGTAACTCAAACGGGACTTTACGCATGTCACAGTGACGCACTGACGAGACTATTTCGTCGGGGACGTGCAACTATGCCGTTGCCTTCTGATAAGATATTCATGGGAACTTTCTGATCATGAAAAGGTTATAGTTAATGAAAAGGTGTAAGATTTTAATATTGTATGCGTTACTATAGTTAATACCAAAAGGGCTCGATTTTAGCAGAGTTTCAAGGTCGAGACTAAGATTTTCGTATAGCATCAAGGATTTTCCCCGGTTATACTAAGAAGTCAGTTTTTGTTGGAGCAGTAAACTTAAATATGCAAGCTGGAATCAAGTCATACAGGCTGGACCGTGCTGAAATTTAATTTGCAGACAAAATTTCCAATTTTCCCCATTTCGTTGTAGATTGTTGATCAAACCATGGTGATCTGACGGTCTCTTGATAATTAAAAATACTCGTTAATTGAGTAAAACAGCTTGACCCAGTGTGTCACGATGTTATTCTAGCAGTATTAGTTTGATGAAACCTTTTTCAAACTTTGCTTACATAAAGTCACCATTAGTTTAAACTGCCTTTTCACGAAATGAAAACATCCAGAATAGGGAATTAAGACAATCAAGGGAATTCCCTATACCTCTCTCAGGGAAAAACTTTGTTCGTCGTTTTTAATAACTTTTGGTATTCATTTCCTTGGGGTAACTCAATCTTGATGTCATGGCAGTGACGCAAGTAACAATGCACACACAATAGCATTAGCTCAGGTTCGTAAACTGTGGTGCAAACAGCTTCAATTGAAATATCTAAGGTCATTGTATGAGCAGATAATATTTACCGAAGAAGTTATGATATGGTAGATCTATCAAGTGTATCATTCCACAGATCACATAACAGACATGATTTAAACAGATTGAAGGTTAAGACTGATCCTTTTCTTTTTCAGCTCTTTGGAATTGATCCGGCTAGATTGCTGAAGCAGTAAACTCAGCTATGTAAGAAAACCTTCGGGAGACCTTATGACGTGGGCAAAATATATATTTCGAACTGACTCAATACCAGAGTTGTAGATTTGTATAGTAACGTGAACGTACTGTCCTTTGAAGTCTGGATCGTCTTTGTGAAAACGATACCTTTAAGACTCGTTAGCCATCTTGAGCCGTTAAATATGACGATTCTTACAAAAGATAAGCCCTTCAATTCTGTCTCCCACTCGTAGTGTAAGTCGAAATGGAGGTCTCTGGCAGTAAAGAGCATGAACACAGGACAAGTAATGCGAATAAAGTGGAGTAACACAACCTTGCATGAAGACACGTACTGTGTCATAAGGTCCAAATCGGAGTAAGACGACTATTTCCCTACGTGACCACTCAACACAAAGAGTCAATGAGATATTTCACTTTATGATCATTATTGAAGGTTGCTTCACGTAAATAAACAACACACTCTTTTGCAATCAGCTTATTCTATTGTGTTTGTTTACGAGATGTTGATACGCGTCACAGTGATATGCATGTCATGCAGCTCGTAAAATTACGTACATCCTCGAAACTGACGTCACGAATGAGTACACGTCCACTGAATCTAAAAATATATAAAAATGGGAGAGTAGAAGCTATATATGTTGAAGTTTGTGCGTTTATCTTCATATAGAATATTCATTCAGTGGAAAGTTGTGGGCGCTTTACTGACTCGTTTCATCGGCTGAACTATGGTTGTCGCAATCGACACAATGGTGGATACTGATATGAAATTCGTAGACAGAGTAGACGAGAGGCTTAATTGCCCGATCTGTAAGAAGGTTTTCGATGAGCCCTGGCAGACAACATGTGGACATCGATTTTGTAGCGACTGTCTGGAACGTCTTTTAGGGTAGGTCGAAATTTTTCATTGACTACTTATTTCTTATCCACTCCTGCTTTTCCGTCCGAAACGAAGTCGCTTCAGAAAAATTGAAATCTACTTTAATTTCTATTTGACGGCTGAAAATGTCCATTTACAGGTGTAATTGAAACCACTACTTCCGAGTTACTTCCGACACTTTTCCCGCCCCGGATGGGAAAATCCATCTGCTTCTGTCGACTTAAGATATACCAGGAATGAGTGTTGAATGAAATTATGAATTTTATAGTAATATTTAACTTCGAATGTACTCCTTCAGACAAGAAAACCCAAGGTGTCCGATAGAGGGTGAATCAATTTCAAGACAGCAATCTTTTAGGGATAAATGCTGTGAGAGAGAAGTTCTTAATCTTCGATGTTTCTGCCGATTTAATAACAAAGGATGCGATTGGAAAGGGGAGCTCAGATATCTAAAGGTATTCAGTGTAAAATTTGCATGCACCTTAATCGATCTACCCAAATAGAGTGGCGTTGTGAACTTGCCTGCCTTCAACGCTCGAAAAACAGCCTTTGGTTGAAATCTACAAACTTTCAGGCAACGAACTCTAATTTTGCTTGCCTAAGACGTGCGTGAGGTACATCTCGCCGCCGAAAGGTGTAAAATCTTCGAAAAGCTTCTAGAAAATGCAATAACCATAGCTGGTCACGCACGCAAACATATTGCGAAATTTTCAATCAACGGTCTCGGCTAGAAATTTCTAGCAAATATGACAGCACAAACAGGGGCTGAATTCTCATATTGTGAGAGTTTATTGCCTGTGTAACGATGAAACATGCAGACCTATTTAAAACTTTAAGACTATCCTAGACAAACTCTTATAATTCACATGATTAGAGTGGCGTGACTTCCTAAGACTTCTAAAATGTAAATACCTGCCAGCAAGTCACAAGTGAGGTTTGAAGTAGCGAGAAGAGGTAAAAATAAAACAAAATTCAAAAGCAGAAAACATATTTTACAATTAAATGTCATTTAAACTCCATACCCTTTATTTTAACAGGCACACGAAGATAGCTGTCAGAACGGTAATGTAAAATGTCAAGCGTGCGGTGAAACTGTGGAGAGGAGACAGCTCACGGTGCACAGGGAGCAAGATTGTATCAACAGGGCAGTGGCGTGTACCTACTGTGGTGGCGAGGTTCGGCATAGTTATATGAAGGTAAGATAATCAGCTCCATTGTTAAAACAAAAAACCGATATGGATTGACACTGACATGCTCGAAGTTTGTCTCAAAATATCAAGACTGTAGAGAAATACCAGTTGAATTTCACGTCAGCACATACATGTACATGTAGTTTACATCTTCGAAAATATACATCAATTTGGTTTGGTCTGATATGAGCAAGGTGTTAATAACTAAATATAATCGTATCGTCTATACTGCATAAAAGGTCAACTCGACACCAACTTATATTTTATATCTTCTAAAGGAACATTTAAATGTGTGCCTTAAGTTTCCAATCCAGTGCTTCTTGAACTGTGGTGAAGAGGGTATACCAAGAGACATGATGGAAGAACACGTGTCCACACGTTGTCTTAAAGCTGAACATCTATGTCCTTTTAGTTTTCATGGCTGTGAATTTAAGGTTAGTTATTTACTTTGTCTATTTGTTTGATCTTTCGTCCTAATATATGATTTATTAATGTCTGAGCGTACAAGGATCTAACAACAGAAAATAGCATATCGGACCCAATATAAGACCACCTTATGTAGTTTGTATTGCCACAATCCAAATAAGTTTTTCTTTTTCTTTTTCTACAGGGCACTAAACAAACAATCGATCAACACGTTGCTGAGAATATCGAGTCTCATCTTGAAATAATGAACTATTCAAGCAATGAATGTAACGAGAAATTAAAACAGATGGAAGAGAAGATATATCGTCTAGAACAAGAAAAAAGTACTTTGGAACATCAACTACAAAATCAAGCAGAGGTGTTGGCAGCTGCAAGACAAAATACACAAACGCAACAGACAAAACTGTCCCACGTAGAAAACTCCATCATCGAACAAAAGAGGACAACTGAGAAATTGCTCGCCGATTTAAAGGTTTTTGTGGCATCTAGAACCAAGGGAGATGCTGTCTCGTCTCAGATGGAAGAAATAATGAACACTCTGCGAGAACACGAGAAGGAGGTGAGCAGTCTTCAGGGTGAAGTGGCCCATTTGAAATTATACCCTGCCACGCAGAATGGTGCGAGTAACTCTTGTTCAAAATCCGACGTGTCTCTCACTCGTGAGTCCGAGCGCCGACTGGACAGG